ATGACTCGTCCTCGGAGGAGAGTAGCGCAACAATCCACTATTATACCATTCACTTAAATCACGAATGCTTAGATAGAGAATTAAATATGAGACCGTATTTCAATCCACACTATCTCTAATTTGTCCTAAACATCTTTTCATACAAACTCATTTGTATAAATTACGTGTTTTAATGTGATCAAATAATTTTGAATTAGAGATAAACGTAATAATTAAGATAAATAATATGTCAAACATGCAAGGTTATCACATCAGTTTGTAGGAAATAGTTTGTATACAGAACATTACTTTAGTTGTGATATTTTAACTATATGTAATGATATTTCAAAAATATTACATCTTAATGTAATTTAATATCATTCTCAATAATTATTCTCGCTAATATGAATCCTGTCTTAAAAGGATTATTGAATCAATAGAAATAAGTTTGTTTCAAGAGATTCGTATACAATGCTCCATACAGAAAATGAAATTTCACGATGACTTTCATAAAACCACCAAATAAAAGCCTCCTTTACTTATGAAATTCATTATTGCATGTGATCCTACGAATATACTCTCATCTGCTGCCATTAATGCTTATTATTGATCTTTAAAACCTTATTATAATTTTAGTAACTAAATCATGTACCGTCCTGTACATTTACTATCTCTTAGGTTTGAATTTTTTTTTTTTTTTTTTTTTTGACAATCTCTGAACCTCAAAATTGAACAAAGTGATTAGAAGAGATAACCGAGAAAAAGAAAAGATAAAGTTGGAAGGCATAAAGAATGAATGAATAGATTCACAAAAGACAAAAAATATATATAATATTGTAAAAAGAAAATGAACAGAAGACCATCAAATAAGCAGCCATTAACTGCATTGATTCTGCCAAAACACTTTTAAAGTCACATTGAAATTAATTTTTTAATCAAAAGTTTTCCAGGTATGCTAACGGTCTACTCACTACTGCCACTTTCAACGACTGCCAGCTCATTTTATCACATGAGTGTCTGGGGCATTACAACGTTATGCATCCATTAAGGACCCGATGATTATTGTTAAATCGAAATTAATTGAATAAAGGATTCAGTACACGACATGTTCCTGCCGTATGTCTTACAAAATAGCTAGTTTTCAACCTTGGTTTCGTAAATACAAAATTTACATTCATAAATTCACAAAAGGTTGTTTAATATAATGGTCAAAAGTAAAGGGGTCATTTGCACTTTCTTTAAATCTGAAATAAAAATATAACTTTTAAAATAACCCTCCACATCTCACATTTATCTCACAAGCACCATTTCTCTAAAACTCCTTCTCTTTTGCCACTTCTTTCTCTCTCCTTCACCATAGCCTCCCAGCAACCATGCTTCTCTTTCCCTCCCTAACCAGCAACCAAACCCTAATCTCTTCTTCGACACCGCATGGAGGCCTTGTGGCAGCCAAATTTGGCCTTGGCGTGGGCCAAAAGCAATAGCCAAATGGCCACTTCTTAGCCCTCGAGGTGGCCAGATTTTGGCCGCCACGTGAGGGCTTTGTGGTGGGAAAAGCGGCCAAAATCTAGTTGCCACGAGGCAACCAGAATCTAACCGCCACGAGGCCTTCACGCGGCCGCAAAAATCTAGCTGCCACGAGGGCCAAGCAACCATGGAGAGAAGAAATAAAAGAAGGAAAGGAGAACAAAAAAGAAAGGAAGAAGAATAATAAGAAACAAAAGAAAGGAAAAAGGAAGGAGTTATAGGTGGTGTAGTGCCTGGGTGGCAGTAGTTCATCGGACGATGGTTGCTCAGCCCTACGCCTTACCACCTCCATCGATAGATGTTGCCCAGCTCACCAGTTGGAGTTGAGTTTGTTTGGAGGTGTGGTGGTTTTTTTTTTTTTTTTTGGCTAATAGTAATTTTATAAAAATAATGAATTTACACCTAAAAAGGGAGAAAACTCCCTAGCACCCTGACTTTAGGAGAAAAAGCCAAGGAACGAGAAAGCTCAAGAGAACAAGAGAAGCAAGGATGTACAATCCTTTACAAAGCAGCTCACACTCGGAGCACAAAAGCCTATACACAAACCTAGAAACACCACCAAGCAGAAAAAGACACTGCCACAAAAAGCAACAAAAAAAAACTTGAACAGCAAGAGAGCTGCAGAGAACCATCAGCCAAAACTTAAAGATTAATTGATAATGTCAGCCAATTAATGCGATGAAGACAAGTGAATATCAGCCAATGTGGCAAAGAACCATCAGCTAACACTTCAAGATTTTTTTTTTTTTTTTTGATACGCCAATCGTCTAGGACAGAAAAACAGGCCTGGGAAAGCAGGACAACAGCAACCACTCACTAGCCCAAGGCTCTTCAAACCACCACCAGTAGTTGAAACCAACCAAAGAAAACCACGCAGCCATGGCAAAAACCCGCCCAACCTACTGTCCCTCTCCAACCACCTGTACACAAGGCATGACAGCAAGCAAAAAAGAAGAAACCATCTAGCCACAAGGCAACAAGCAACCAAAGAAAGAGCACTCTGGCAATAATCAACACAACCTCAAAAACTAAACCCCAAAGACTAACACAACATCTCCACACTAACCCACCAGCCTCACCAAAACCCCTAGGCTCCCAAAAGGCTGACATCAGAACCCACCAAGAACAACACAAATAGCTTATACTATAGGGTACATGAGTCGTCCTTATAATTCTCACCAATGCAACATCTAGAGATACCCTATTCCTCCAATAAATTACAGACCCGCGCAGTTGTCATGATCAGGGGTTATCCTCTATCTTGCCAGCTTTGGGCTCAAGGGCTTCCCCACGTGTTGGACATGTCGAAGGTATTGTTCACTATGGGTCCTTCTGGCCATGCCTCCTTCAGACCCTCATGGCTTTGTTTCACTTCGTGGTCTCTCCACCTTGCGAACACCTCTCTCGTGACTTGAGCTTTGGACTTATACATTGGCCAAGTAACATGAGTACCATTGGGATAGAGGATAGCCCCCGGTTGTGACAGTAGTGTTCTTGAACTTAAGACTAACCAACTTGAACCTAACAACTGACATGATTTGAAGCTCAACCCACTGGATATTATGCCTCTCACCTTTAAATAAACTCATATTTCTTTCCCTCCATATCCAATAAACCGTAGCCGCAATGAGGAGGCGACAAATGATCGATCTAGCTCCCTACGTAGGTGATTTGCTGGGGGAATTCTCTGCGGGGATCATTCCCTGTTCAGAATCAACCAAACATAACAAACAAAACAAGTTTCAAGACCATTTTACTAATTATAATTGTTGTTGCTGAGGGTGAGAGTGTATGTGGGCTGCACATTTGTTGTATGGTGATGTGTGTGGTTGGCTTTGAAATGCTGTATGTTGGCTGTGTAGGCCGTGTGGTAGCTGGTCTATTGGGCTGTGTTTTTGGCGCAATGTGGGTGGTGTGTGGCGCTTGGAAGAGGTGGTTTAGTGGTAGCTTGTGAGACAGCAGGTAGGTGATGTTTAGGCTAAGGGAAGATGCTGGGAGGGATGAATGGTAAGGTGGGCAAAAGGTATTGTTGTGTGTAATGGCTTAGCAGTGTAGGTAGCCGTGGTTGTGGTTGGGCGCAATTGGACTGGCAGTAAAGGTGAATGGGGCGTGGGCATGGGATGTTTTAATTTCCTATTTTCTCAAGAAATTAATACCTAATATTCTCAAATCAAGCTAAAACAAACTTATTGTCAAGTCATTAAATCCAATTCACTAACTCATAGAAAAAGAAGCGAAAACTGCATACGAAATCATGTATCTACAGCGATGCATGAAAAATCGAAAATAATAAAGAGAAACAAAGTCGATCAGATGAAAAATAATAGTTGGATCAATGACAATAAGAGAGAAGAAAGTGACCTGGTAATGATTGGTGAAGATCGAAGATGATGAAATTAGGGTTTTCCCAAACTCCTCTGATCTATTCCATGGAGTTAAGGAACGATTGTATTGTGTTTGAGAAAAATAGCCAAAGTGAGCGCGACAAAAGTTGAGTGGAGTTATTTATAGTCTTTTCTGTGTTTACGTATTTGCCCTTGGACCCAAGTTAGCCGGTTCAGGATGGGCCTCAATTGAGCCCAATATTAATAGATGGCTTGGTCTGGGATAAATAGATGTTTTCCCAAATACTAAATTAATGCTTTTACATAGTTAAAAATGATCTCAGATTACCTAAGTTAATACACACATATATAATGTTAATATAAAATTAAAATATTATATAATATGTCGAGCTTGAGTAATCTCGCGAGCTGTTTGAGTTGAGTATTATTAGGCTCGAACTCGGCTCGACTTGACACGCAAGCTACTTAAGCGCGAACTCGACTCGCGTCGAGTCCTAATCTGATCAGTACTGATGTGTCGCGTCAACTCATGATTGAATTATGTTTTTTTTTTTTTTTAAAGAAAAGGTAAAAATAATTTTTTTATTTAATATTTTTGCTATAAAATTATGTATTGAAGTCGGATTTAAATGATTAGCTAGTTTATTGCACACAAGATGAAGATGAAGATGATTAGCTATTAGAGCTTGAAGGATTTAAATGTTTTTATTTCTCTTTTTGTTGATATTGAAATGTTCATGCTTTATGTTAGAGTCTCACACCGAGTAGGCACGCTAAAGCCTATTGGGTTATAAAAGGGGTAATCCTCCCATTCAACAAGACCTTATTGGTAGGGGTGTTCAAAAGCGGTTAACCGCTTTTCTGAATTGAACCGAATTTCCGGTTCGGAAAAATTTCTGAACCAAAACCGAACCGGTTTTAAAGAAAACCGGTTTTTCGGTTAACCGTTTTAAAAAAAAAACGATTAACCGTTTGTGAACCGGTTTTCCATTTTTTTATAAAACTTTTTTTTTTTAATTTTATCCTAAATTAAATTGTAAATAACTAAATATAGAAAAATACATATCCAAATAAAAATTAAACATTTATACATATCCATTGACCACTACTAACAATAAATTAAAAATTGATACAAATAAAAGTCCGAAATGAAATAAAAATAAAAGTCCATAATAAAACAACAAAATAAATAAATAAGTCCCAATAGAAAACAACAAAAGAAATTGGGCAAATACAACTCCACAAGTAGAAAGCGGAAACCAACATTAAGTCAATACGAGTAGATCTCCCAATATCTGCCCAAATAAAAATTAAATGTTAGAAGTTTATAAAAATTAAATCATATTTTTTTTCATTGCCTACGATAAAAAACTATTAAAGAAATCAAACCTCAATTAAATGCTGCAAAACCTTCAATCATCAAGATGAATACGAGTAGTATTTCCCATTGCCGAAGACACAAATTCTATAAAAAATAGGTCATATAAATAATGGTTAAATTTAAAATTCAGTCAATAAATCCAATAAAGACAACATAATAACTAATAATTGAAACTAAAGCAAAAACTTTACCTGACTCAAGCTCTGCTATCTCTTCCAAGCTCTCCTCAAATCTGAATAGTTCACGTGTAGCTCGAATCCAATCTTGTGTGCAAATAAGAGCCTCCACCATCTTAGGAGTGAGGGAGCTACGAATGGATTTAATACATGACCCCCAGTGCTAAATGTTGACTCAGATGCACAGTAGAAACCGGCATAGCTAACACCTCTCGTGCTATCGAAGAGGAGACTAGATATCTATTTGAATTGACTTTCCACCAACTCAAGATATCAAACATGTCGTCCTTATGACGCTGCTCACATTCATCCTTAAATATATCCATCTCAGATTTGGTTATGTAACCTCCTGTCCAGCCATTGCCTCATCGTACATACAATACATCAATTCTTGGGATCAACATTTACATCTCCACATTAACTTGACTTGCTTGTTGAGACTGTTGACTAGATTGCCCACTTGGAGAATTATAAATGAGCTTGTATTGGTCAAATAAAGAATACAAAGTTGTATGCACTTTTATCTTCCAAAGTTCAGCATTAGCATATCATAAGATTTACTAATAACCAATTCACATATCCTAACTTGAATCTAGGATCCAACACCACTACAATGAATAACATTAAGTTGATATTATCAATATTTGACCAATTATTCATGTTTTCCCTTCATCTACTAGCCATAGTACTTAAGCCAACATCATTACTTCTAGACATGTGAAATTTGCATTCACATGGCAAAGATCTCGGCATGTACGCATTACCAGTAACAAAAAGTGAGCCTGACACGCGTAGAGTAGCATCATAAAAAACTTTCAAAAAAGGTAACAAGTAACGGACATACTCCCAACCACTAGGCATAGGCAAACCCCTTGACTTTTCCCCTCTAGTAAGTTCATCTTTATACTTAACGTCTGGATTGCAACAACCAAATCTTTCTGAAATTTTAAGCCACATCCAACATTAAGTACGTAGAGTTCCACCTTGTTTCTATATCAAGAACCAAAAGATTTTTTTGTTCAATCTTTTCTTGCTCTACACACTCCTTAAACCTTTGTAATCTCGCCGGAGAAGACCTCACCTACTCACTGCAGAGCGAATTCAAAATGGAGTCCTCATGTCTTTTAACCCCTCTTTTACAGTGAGACTCAATATATGTGCACAACACCTCATGTGCAGAAAATCACCACTCAAAACAATACCCTTCCAACTTTCTAACCAGTTTGGAGATATTATTCCAACATCATTAGAACTGCATTGTCAACGGTAAGGTGAAAACCTTAGAAATACCCCAATCAAGCAAACACCTCTCAATTGCTTACCAATCAATAAACCTTTGTGACTAGCAATTGGACAAAAATTTAAGATCTTTTTTTTGTAATTTCCAATCATCATCAATGAAGTGAGCCGTCAAACACATATAGTTAAGGTTTTGGCAAGATGTCCATGTATCCGTGGTAAGACTTACTCTCTTACTAAACTTACTAAAAAAGGCCTTCAACTTATTTCTCTCCTCAACATAAATATTAAAACAATCTCTAGCCACAGTAATACGAGAGGGAACTTGAAATAAAGGTTGTACATCCTTCATAATATCGCGGAACCCCTCACGTTCTACATGCCTAAAGGGCAACTCATCAACAATTATCATTCTAGCTAGAGACCGTCTAAGCCTATCTGAATTGAATTTCCAAGTTGTAAGTGAAGATTGTGTGGAGGTGGCAGTAGTACCACTTGATTGGTCATTTGATTGTGTATGTTGAAAAACTAAGATCTTTTGTTTCTTTTCTATCACATTCAAAGGGTACTTTTTACATCGAGTTAAGTGATTCCGTAGACAACTAGTACCACTTTTACTTGGACATGCAAGCACATTCCCACAATAATCACATGTTGCCGTCCTATCATCCATATTCTCACAAGGATTTACAGTAAAATGATCCCACATGTCAGAAGTATTTTTTAGAGTATTAGAACTTACACGTTTGGGGACTCGTGGTGGTCGTGGTCGTGGATCAGGATCCGTAGAAGGCTGTGGGGCTACCAATGAGTTTGGAGTTGGATTCCTACTAGTTGGTGTCTCCGGACTCTCATCAGTATTAGAATGGTCAACAGCCATGGGGTTAGATTTGGACATCTGCAACATCAACACGAAGATCTTAATGTAAGTAAAAGGACCTTCCTAGTAGTCCATACAACTAAAAAAAAGAACCAAATTTCATAACAAGCAACATTAAGATGCATTTTGCCTAAAGAAGAATTTCATTGAATGGTTACATACTTGACTCTCAAACCAAGACTATAACAGTCTAATTGTTTTTTTTCTTTTGATTTTTTGATCTTCCCAGGTATATATACCTTAACTATTTTATCAAACTTGGACATATTCTTTTATTAACACACAACAGAATTATTGAATTACATTTGTGTTCAAATAATGCAGGAGTTGCTTTGGGTGATAGCTGGATTTCTCCTGAAGATTTTTGTGTATGTGGTTCCACTGATTGAAAATTTATGTGTGCCAAATATTTCTCCATCTAAAAATGACTTGATTTTCATATTAAAATTGCTTACAACTAAAGATTAATTAATGCAGTTTTCATGGGCACCACTTCTCAAAGAGCTGTCACGAATGGACAACAAAGGCTTGAATGAATCGAACAGGTTCAGATTAAGAATTTAATTGTCTCTGATTAATGTTTTGAAAAAGGCAAAATCAAATTAAGTTAGCATAATCCATTTTGCAAGAACAGTTTAGCTCTAAAGATTAAGCAGCAACTAGCAGCAGGTAAATATGAAGATGCTGCAATAACATACTCATATATTACTTGTTCAAATAATGCAGGAGTTCTAGTGGCAGACATAAAACAAAATTTCACAAATGATATGAGTTATCTCTCACTCTTTTCTCTTTAAGATAAGGTGCCAATATTATTTAATAAATGATAAAAGGAAAGTTCTTACCTTGAAATTGTTGCTGCGCCTTTGTTTCTTGAGAATGGATGAGTAGAAAAGATTTTTTAATAAACTATGAAGTAACGTGGGTGCTTGCTGGAAGAAGGAGCTGGAAGAAGGAGAAGGATGACGCAGCTTTGCTGGATCTAGAAGAAAAATGAAGAAAATCTGGTATTTGTGAACTGAGAAGGGCCTCAGGTGCTTGCTGGAGCTGGAAGAAGGAGAACGACGCCGCAACTTTGCTGGATCTGGAAGAAAAATGAAGATAATCGAGAATTTGTGAATTGAGAAGGGAGAGGCAGAGAGCTACGAAAAAATTGGTGGGTTGCGATTTTAGATTTGAGTGAAAGTGAATGTGAATTACGGATAGATTTTTATTTATTTAATATAATATATATATATATATAATTTGAAAACCGGTTAACCGTTTTTAGTTTTTTCCGAACCGGTAACCGAACTGGAAATTCGGTTTTTTTAATTTTTCGAACCGTAACCGAACAGTTTTTTCGGTTAACCGGTTTTTCAGTTCGGTTCGGTTTTTGTATTTTTTTGAACACCCCTACTTATTGGGTGAGGAGTCAGACCCATCTCAAATTCTATCATGGTATCAGAGCCCATGTTCAGTTGATTTGAGCGCTTGACTAGTGGGTGAGGAGTTAGAGCCAGCAACTACCTCCATCAATAGGCATGACCCAATATATGAGTTTGACTATAAGGGAAAGTGTTAGAGTCCCACACTGACTAAGCACGCTCAAGCTTATTGGATAATAAGAGAGGATAATCCTCCCATTCAACAAGTCCTTATTAGGTGAGGGGGCAGGTCCACCTCAAATTCTATCACTTTAGCATCGTTGAGTTTTGAGATTTATTTGTGAATTCTAGGACATTTAATAATCTAGGGCTCAGGCTTCCTCACGTGCCAGACATGTCCAAGGTATTACTCGCTATGGGTCCTTCTGGCCATGCCTCCTTCAGAACCTCACAGATTTGTTTCACTTCGTGGTCTCTCCACCTTGCGACCACCTCTCTCGTGACTTGAGCTTTGGACTTATACCTTGGCCAAGTAACATGAGTACCATTGGGATAGAGGATAGCCCCCGATTGTGACAATAGTGTTCTTGAACTTAAGACTAACCAACCTGAACCTAACAACTGACATGATTTGAAGCTCAACCCACTGGATATTATGCCTCTCGCCTTTAAATAAACTCATATTTCTCTCCCTCCATATCCAATAAACCGTAACCGCAATGAGGAGGTGACAAATGATCGATCTAGCTCCTTTGCCCTTAAGATTACCCGCACTCCAAGTAATAGAATTTTGTCAATCTCTTGCAAGAGCTCTGAAATTACCCTTAGCTTGGACCTTACTCCAAATGGCAACAGTGATAGGGCATGCAAAGAAAAGGTTATCATGTGAGTCCAACGTACTGTTACAAAGTGTACACTCCAAGCTAGGGGTGTCAACCGAGCGAGTCGGCTCGTTAAATACTCGAACTTGGCTCAAGTTCAATCAAGTCAAGCCGACTCAAATTTGACTCGAGTTAGGTACCAAGCCGAGTTTGATCTACCCCGACTCGACTTGATTCAGCTCACGAGCCAATAGTGGCTCGTTTAGGGTTTTTTTGCGCATAATACAAGTTTTAGGTCTGTTTTATAATTTGACATGTAAAAGACTAAAAGGTTTAAAAAATCATAAATTAACCCTTAACCCCAATTAACCCAAATCACGTAATTGCTTTCCCCAAAATCATAAATCCTATTTTCACATTTATATTCAAGAAACTCGATTTTCCCAAAAATGATTTCCCCAAAATTACACCAAGCCACCCACAAACACAAGAACTAGACTTGGCAAAACGGGTCTAGACTCGCGGTCGACCCGTACCCGGATAAAAAATATAGGGTACGAGTCTAATGTATTGGACTCGTACCCGGCCCGACCCGACCTATATTATTAATGGGTTATACGGGTAAACCTGCGGGTGCCCATTTATTGTTAAAAAAAAAGGGGATTTGAAAATTGAAATCCCTAACTAAAACAATTACTCTCATTCTCTCAACTCTCAAGTCTCATCTCATTCTCAATTTCTCATCCTAGTCCCACTGTCTCAATCTTTGAACTCCTCTCTCTCAGAAACCACAGTCGCCACTCATGACTTGCCATTTCCTCTCTCTCACATCGTTGCAACTCGCAACTCACCATCTCTTCTCTCTCACAAGTCACAGACCACAGTCGCCACCACTCGCCAAGTCACCATCTCCTCTCTCTCTTCATCTCAAGACTCACAACTCTCTTCTCTCATTGTCTCACATCATTGTCATCACCGTCACCGTTGTCGTCAATATTTCTTCTCTCACACCACCATTGCAGATCGGTACAAATTAAAACAACAAGGTAAAGTGTGTGTGTGTTTTTTTAATATTTAATTTTTAAGTCTATAGCTTGTAATGTTATATGCGTGTTTGGTTTTTGTGAAAATGCCTGCGTAAATGTTATGATGCGGGGTTTTGATTTTGAGATAGCTATATGCATGTTTGGTGTTCGTGAAAATGCGTATTTGGTGTTCGGTGTTTGTGAAAAGTCTAAAAACAAGTGTTGTACTTAAACAAGAGGAAGTAATGTAAATGAAAATCTTTTGAAGCAATGAAATGTTTAGGCCAAATACTCTGATAAAATATTGGTACACTTGAGAATTTTATACTAGGCTTGAGGCTTTTAGAGTGCAGACTACACACTAAATTTTGGAGAGATGCATTTTTATTCTACTATAGGACTTCTTACATTTCGATGGCTCCAAGAGGAGGTTAGCAATTGAATTAGATAAAATTTACTGTTCTTGTAGATTTCCATATGGGTCAGATTTCCATTATGCTAAAAGCAGTTTAAGTTTGCAACTTTCAACTGTTTTGTTACAGCCAAGTTTGGCAGAGCTTGCATTTGATTTTGGATGGTTTCACTGTGTTGGGCTGATTCTGAATGATCAAATTTCATGGCTTGTGCTGGCCTATCAAAAACTATGATAGCAAGATTTCATGAGGGAATATACTTATTAAACTTACAATTAAATTAGAAAAATCCCTAGAAGATTCCTGAATTTGTAATAGATTTAAGGGTTAAAAAGGGTTATTGTTGTGTGATAAAACACTATCAAGAAACTTCAGAGCTCTTATGGATATGGTACTTGAATTCAAACATTATTGTGAACCAAAGGTATTTATTTAACCATAGTATAAAAGAAAAAATTGAGCCATAGGTTGATTTATTCCATCTGACATAAACATTAGCGAGAAAAAACAAGAAGTACCATCTTCATAAACAAGATATTTATGTTTAGTAAGTCCAAGCTAGGATGGAGGATAGACTTAAATTACTTCATTTTGATAAACAGAAGTGAGGAAAGAATGTAAAAACACAAGAGGAAGAAGCCCACTAAAACTGACTAGAATGCATCCATACAAATGTCAACCAAGAAAAAGCAATTAATTTGCTCCCATTACTTTTAGACCCCAGGTCACTGAGTCATTAAAACAAACATTTAGTTATATTTATTTTTCAATATATTTTAATGTAATATTTATATTAATATTATTGTAATATATATAGTCTCAAGCACTGACATGGCGGATTCTGAAACTATAGATACTGATATGGTTAACGTGAGAGCAAGTGACGATGCTTCTAGGGTAATGCCAGCTCCTTTAAATTCTAGTATTCCTGCAGCTAGTTTTAGAAATAAACGTAAAACATCAGAAGTTTGGGATTACTTTGAGACATATGTTGATGAGAATAAGAATGAGAGGGCTAGGTGTAAGGCATGCAATAAAACATATGCATATGGTAATGCCACACATGGGAATAAAAATTTGAAGCACCATATGGAAGATTGTCCAAAACGTGGCAACCATGATGTAGGGCAATTATTGATTGATCATGATCATAGATTGCAAAGTAGAAAGATTAGTCAAGAGACTTATCGTGAATATATGGCCTTATCAATTACTCAACATAATTATCTATATTCATATGTTGAGAATCAAGGAATTAGGAGAGTCTTTTCGTATGTGTGTAAGGAGCTTATGCATTATTCTAGGAACACCACTAAGGTGGATTGTTTGAAAATTTATGAAAGGATGAAGCAAAAAACTAAGCTTAAATTAGGGAGGCTTACTAGTAAAATATGCTTAACTTCTAATGTTTGGACTTCTGGTACAATTGAGAGATATATTTCTTTTACAGCTCATTATATAGATGAGAATTGGGAATTACAAAGTAAAATACTGAACTTTTGTCATATTTCTTGCAAGAGTGGAGAATTGAAAAGAAAGTTTTCTCAATTACTTCAGATAATGCAAGTAGTCATGATAGGATTGAGGATATCTTGAGGAATCAGCTTTGTGTGCAGAATGTTTTGTTATGTAAGGGTGAATTTTTCCATGTGCGATGTTCTGCACATATCTTGAATCTTATTGTTCAAGAAGGGTTAAAAGCTACTAGTGTCGCTTTAAATAAGATTTGAGATAGTGTGAAATATATTAAAGCAACTGAGGCTAGAAGAATCAAGTTTGGAAAACTTGTTGTACAAATGGGAGTGAAAAGCTCAATGGGGTTGAGATTGGATGTTTCCACTAGATGAAATTTGACATTTTTAATGCTTGAAACGACGTTAATATATCGTCCTGTGTTTGTGACTTTATCAACAATAAATCTCAGTTATAAATTTTATTCATCAGATGACGAATGGGATAAAGGGGCGAGGATATGCAAGTTATTGGAACCATTTTATGATATTATGACTTTATTTTCGGGTTCTAAATATTTTACAGCAAACTTGTACCTGAAATGTGTGTGAGAAATTC